ACTCATTCTACACAGGAAAAACCCAGATAAGCTGCTAATATTTTAAACCAAGTTTTTTCAACTGATGGTCTTTTCAAGAATATGGAAGATTCAAATTTTACAATCACACATTACTCTTCCAACTGAAGTTTGAAATCAGCATGAATGGTATGAATTGTAAAATTCAATAATGATATATTAATTAATATTTTAATATAAATGTACATTTGCTTTTTAAAAACAGTGACCAGTATATGTACAGATCAGATCAGATCAGGGTGCAAAAAACAAACTGACTGGTGGACAAAGCACTGATAATACCGGCGGTGGTACTTATTACTATTCACTTTATAAAGTTTAGCAGGTTGTCCATTAACGGCTGGGGTGACAGTTTGAACCTCTTCACATGCCGAAGAGTTCCTCGGGAGAGACAATGAACCTGAAGTGGCTCCCCATGATAGGAGCATAGCAGCTCCACTGTCATTAGTGTATGAGTGTGTGTGAATGAGTGAAGCGCTTTCAGTGCAACTCAAGTGCTATAAAGCGCTTTACACGTGTGGACCATTTACATGTGCAATACAATCTATCTTCATAAATGAATCTCAGGAAATATATCAGCTGCACACACTTCAGGTCTGACAGTTTGTTTTCAGGAAAACACAGCACAAGAGGCACTGGGAGACACAGATGCTATCGGAAATGCAAATATGAGGAAATTGTGCAATGTTGCAGAAAAAAGGGATGTTTTGAATATAAACTTCAGTCTACTAAAGTCTCAAAATACAGTTCCATCATATTCCTTTGTTTCCAACAAAAAAACGCTTCCCAACTTAGCATGTGTTCCAGGGGTTGTCATGTATTTGTGGCATCACAGGTAATACATACATGTTGAAAACCATTTCAAATCCCATTTTCTAATAAGCAGCAGAGTAGCGTTCATACTTGGTATCTCTTTAATGATCATCTAGTGTCAGAAACACCACAACAAACAACCTCAAAGTTCATGGTTTAATGGGGACAAATGAAAACTGAATCAGGCATTTATTTTTTATCAACATATCTACATTTAATACAGTTTCTCAAGCTCTAGGATTTCTCAAGAAAAAAAAGAACCCTATTTTGTCAAGAAATAAAATCTGACATACACCAGCAAATTATGTACACCGCCTGCACTCCGACACGAACCACCGACAGGCCTAATTCACCACAGACACATTCAGCTGAAAACATAAAAATAAAAATCTGTAAACTAATAGCACTGAAATGAATGTGTGTTTTACAGAGAATGCCAGAAAACCAGCACGCGATAAAGTTGGGACTGAGGTACGGATGAGATAAGATGGTCTTAGCTCTTCCAGCATTTCTATGACGGAGGTCGGGGCAGTAGTGACGCGACTGAACCTCAGATCCTCGTAACGGGAAACGACTTGGAGTTGGTTTCGCGCTCATGATTGCGGCAACCATTTTTCTTCATAACTGTGACACTGTGAGGAGAAGGTGCATAAAAAGTAACAGCAAAACGGTGAGAAGAGAAGACAACCATCTTTTTTGCTTTTTTTTTTGTTTTTTGCTAAGGAGAAGAAAATTCACTTCATGCTTGATGTGAGAGTCCACAGTCATATCACTCGGCAACAACCCAAACAGTCTCTCATAAGCCATTTTTCAATCGATATCCAGCAACGTGAAGACTGTTTGATTACGCAGCAGCCACTGCCATTCGTTTCCAGTTCGAAGGCTTCTCGCCTCACATTGTCCTGTTTAGACAACATCTTGAATTACTGAAGGTTGATTCTACACCTATAAAGAATGCATACATTCAACTTATCTCAATTGTCTGTAGTCGGTTGTGATTGATATGCAGAGAGAAAAACAAACTAACAATCTACTCGAAATCTTATGGTGACCCGTGGGTATGTATGAAGCGCCACCAGAGGGTAGAAAAGGGACTTGGTTCCCTTTTCGGTTATCGTCATGTAAAACTTGCATACAAACAACCCTTGTTCAGAACAGGTTTTTGGCATTTTAGTTACCACTTCCACCAAAGTACATTAAGAAGTGGGAAAATGCTCCATCGTTGAATGAAAAAAGTGACTACAAAATACTGGAGTAAACGCCAAACGAAAGGCCAATGTCTTAATCTGCCACCGAAATGTGATTTTTTTTTATTATTATTTTTTTGTATAATGGTGGCTAATGTGAAACACTGGAGTGCAATGCTGATGCTTTCCAAGAACTGTGGCACTCAGAGAAAGAGAGAGAGAGAGAGAGAGATAAAGCGAGAAGGAGCAAGAGAGACCTGAGAACGTGGCCCCGGTTTGAGTACAGAAAGGGAGTCAAGGTTTAAAAGAGCAGAAAAAACAGCATGAGGGCAGAGAGGAAGAGAGAGAAAAAGGCCAGAAAGAGCAGAGGGAAGGAGGTTTTAAAGGGAGCAGCAGGCCATGAATAACACCGAGCCTCGGCAAAGTAGGAGCGGGGAAGTTTTACAGCAAAGATAAGATGTGGGGAAGGAGGCAGGCCGAGATACGTGGCTCCCGTTTGGTAGTCCATAGTGTGGCTTTTCCCGCTTGTGTAAAGTACATATCCAGGCAAGGGGTGATCTGTTCTCGATAGTCTTGTGTTGTCCAGGCTTTGTGTTGAGCACTCGGGTATGAAGGAGAAATGGGAGGCGTCTCTCTTCAGTAGTCCTCCACCCAGCCGTTCTCCTGGATAAAGGCGTCGATCACCTCCTTCATAGCCAGGTTGGGGATCAGCTGGTCCTGGGTCAGGGGACTCCTGGTGACCGGGTCGAAATGACCTACTCGCTGCACAGGGAGCAGGTTAAATGTAGGTGTTAGCGTCTGTGTCTGAATTGTCCACACAATATATGCAAATGAAGAAGAAACATTTGCTGTATTTGAGTACAACCACACATGTTCTGCATTAAAGAGGCCAAAACATGCACATTCACAGGGACACTATTGGGGTCTACTGGATTGAACATTTACTGAGACGCTCTCTTTTCTATCTCCTGTCTCTTTAAGGACCCCCTCCTGAAAAGCCCAGGCCACACCGACTGATCAGCTGGCCCGACGACAGCAAGACAATGTCGGTTAAATAAGGTAATCCCAGGTCTATGAGAGTAGAGACGTACCCGTGATAACATTGGCTGTAGTGAGAAAATACGACAGGACTGTGAGCAAGCTGCTCGTTCTTTGTCTGAGGGATGCAAAACTGGCCACTTGGCAGGAGTTATGCAAATGTGTTGCATGGTGATACAGATAAAGTCATAGAACAAGAGTTTAGATTTAAAACAAAGCATTTCAGGCAGGTAAGGAGCAGCATTTTCTATGAGAGAGAGCAACTTCTATTGGACTCTGGGTTTGTAAGTTTGCAGACCTTTCACGTGCACAAAAAAGCTTTAGTTCACTCAAGGAAAGAGAAAAGCCACAAAGCATAATGTGAGCTTTTTAGTAGTACAATGTGTAGCTATAATGTAATGACATCTATGCTATAATTCAGTGTAATAAATAAAACTTACATTCATTTCCTTTTCTTGAAAGAAAATGTTTTATACTTACTAGTAACTAACGAACTAATCTCAGAATTTAACCAAAACATGTTAATGATGGTATTCATAATAATATTGACATTTAAATACAATCAAATTTATACTCTAAACTCTTGCCTTTGAAACTTTTAAATGTCTCTTTCAAGTTGAGAAAATGTAAAGACTTTATTCATTTTTGTTGATTTGGGTACAGTGTAATTTATTAATGCAATAAATGGATGATTAAATTATGTGTACCAACGATACTTTTTGAAATTACCCAACTGATGGGGAAGTCAGAGCACATGTAAGAGGTGGTACTTAAATTTCACCGCATAGTTTTCGGTCGTAACATTTCAAAATTAGTATTTTTTTCAGTTTCTTTAATGTCAAGTCTTTATGGTCATTTTTTGTTTCCATACAGGGAGTTTGTTAATGGATGAACCAACATAAAGACACAGACACATGCACCACGTACAATTTGCTGGATGTTGTCAATATAACAGCAAATAAAACTGAAACAGCACAGTCTGGTTTTTGTACAAGATACTGATAGAAACTCAAACCAGCTTAATAAAAGCAGTTAGCCAAAAGTGAATAACTTCAACTTAAACTGCAGAAGCTATTGTGTTCTTTGCTGTAAAGTTTCTGTCCGACATACTTGAGTCACTATATGGATGACAGGGCTTCCTAATTTAGTTGTTTAAAAGTGATGCATTTGCGTACTGTGTGCTTGTATGACCAGGATCCATCTACTAAATGCCAACTACCTGCAAAATCAGCAGTCATCAGCTAAAAAAAACAACGTAATTCTGAGATGGTCAGCATGTAGCTCTTACCTGTAGGTGTTCTTCAATGTCCTTGCGATCATAAGTGATTCCACTGGGTGTGATGCAGGGTTCCCTCATCAGCTCAAAACTGATCTTCCCACAAAGGTAATCAGGGATTTCCCGTTTCTGGTGGGACAAAAAAGCAGCCACGAGTTAGTCTGATCTAAACCTGAGAGATATGTGGATTTAGTATAACTGCCACCGAAAGACTCTTGTTTTCCAGGTTTTACTTCTTAGCATTAATATCTGCATCAGGGCTCCAGGCTGCGACTATTTTTTTGAGAGTGTGTGAGTTGAAATTTCAATTGGTTGCATTTGTGTGAGTGCATGATGATCATGAAGCTGTTTTGGTGTCACTGTAACCGGCGCAGGCAGCTACTGTGTTAACCACAGTGGTGGAAAGCAGCACTTTTAGAACTACGGTGGACTGTGGTAGTTACACTTAAAAATGTGGTCTTCTTGTGAACTGTGGAGTGCACCTGCATTCGTTGTTTTCTATGAGCGGAAAAGCGCATGTAGGTGTGCTCCACATTGTACAAAAAAAAAACTACTCTGTTTCATCTCGGACAAATCTGACACTAGAACGCCCCAGTTTAACTCTTTCAAAGTGTTTTTCGGTCACACACCTGCCTGAGGAACACCGCAGCCACCAAGCAGCAGCTACCACAGCCTGCAATGTGGGGCGTTTAGGGAACATCTGTAAATTGTCTATCGATAAGCAGATGATCAACAAGTGTTTTGCCTGTGACGAGGTGGGAGGTGCAACCAAATAAGAAAGTCGGTCGCACCGGTGGTACCAGTGAAAAACTTAATCTGGAGCCCTGTGCATTGTGATTTTCCCCCTCAGAAACCACAACAACCTACCTGGTTTTAGATACTGCAAAAAAGCACCAATGCTAATAATAAAAATGCCATAAAACTAATAGAATGGATGCACTCTGTCAAAACTATTTTTGCATCAACCTTTATCAGGATCACACGGCTCTAAACTGAACACCCACTGACGAAAACAGAAGAGAAACACCCTGCTGGTAGACGCCGTCGTGTCACCTCAACAAACAATTACATGCCAATTACCTCCACAGACGAGTCAACAACTATCTATGGCAACAACAAACAGCGACAGTTACCATAGGAACAGCTTGGACCGAAAATAAAAAAGCCGTTGTTTGCCTTTAATCTAAGTGCAATTTTAACAGATGGAATGACAAGCATTAGTGGCAGCAGGTAGGTTGAATAACAGACAGAATGTACCCACGGTATAGAAATCTATATGTCACGTCTGAGCTCAAATCTGAAAGTCTGTGTGCAAGTCTATTTCTGTTGTTGCTATGTCAACGATTAAAGGAGACAGCGTGAGGTAGGTGTGTGCTGTTCGCAGAGATGCATTAGCGTAGGTGAATGTGATGTGTGTGTCTGTCTGTGTGTCAGCCCCATAATGGACTTGTGACCTATCGAGGATGCTTCCAAACGCGTGTGTGAATAATCTCGCTCACAGCGCTACACAATCAGCAAGTAGTAACAATTAATTTTCACACTCACTTTTCTTTTCTCGTCCACTTGAGAGAAGAGCTCGTCCATGTCCATTAGATACTTGTCCTTTGTAGGTCGCATTTCCATGATAGAAAAATATTCACACACATTAATAAAGATTCAGTTGCACTTAAAAAAAAAAAAAAAAAAACGCACTTTCTACATTTTTTTCAACAAAACAAAGTAAGAAATAAATGTTCAAACGTACATGTTTTGATGCAATCTTGGCGGCATCGCCTCCATTTTGATTGTCATCCTGTTTTTCTTTGTATTCTTCTAGTTCTCTGCAAAAATATAAAGTGATCTGAAATGATTCCTTTATTCAAAACAAATAAAAAATTGGCTGTCCATGTCAGACTCATTTCAGTGATTTGCAGTTTCATAAATCCATCATTACCATATAAATAAGCATTCTGCTTCCCAGACTCACCGTTCCTTCTCGGCCAGTATGAGTTTGGTCAGATAGGCATGTAACTCGTTCTCCTGGTTGATGCGCTTCTCCTCGATGCTGTTCCAACGTTTTTTCTTGGCGATGCGCAAAGCACTGGGGATGTCATCTCCAAAGTTCAGCCTCTGTTCTTTTGCCAGGTTATAAGCTGTAAAACGAAAATCCTTTATTAAAGATGCTAATTAATTAACATACCTTGCAAGAAATTCTCTAGATTGCTTCTTGGCCCTTTCACGTATTTAAAACATTGAATGTATATATATATGAAAATATTGTTCATCTTAAAAGGTGTAACTGTGGATTGTAAGATCACTCCAACATAACTGGATGTTCATCTTCATTACAAATGGATGCAGGCTTCCAGTTTCCAAACCAAAGTGGTGTAAATGGGGCCAGGATTGACTTCCAAACTACCTGAGATGTCACAAATCATGCTCACAGGTGCATGCCTGCAACAATTTCAGATGGTCATGTAGAAGCTTTACATCTTCCCCATATGAATCTGAAAAGTTCTGTAGCTGCAACGGCATCATTTTGCACAGTGAAGGTCAAACATTGAAAAGAAGCTACAATGACCAAAGCACATTTCTCAGTGGATGGGGACTTCAAGCTTTCTTTCCTTCTGACATCTCTTGTTCCACAGATGACATGTCAGCAATTTCAATTTATGCTGTGCCCACACAAGGCCTCAGAGGAGAAGAGCTTATATAAGAACAAAAGTTTCATCACTTTGAATATTACAGAAAAAGTTACAGCTGACTCCAGGGTCATCACTTGAGCTCTGAGACGACTGACAGCAGGGACAAGACAAAGACAGAGTTTAAAGAGACGCATGAACCCAACCATAAATGAGGAAATACACGAGAAAGATTGCACAATACATAAACTATCTGCTTTTATGCGTGGCTACAAAATGTTGCAACATTTTCCTCATCTCTTTGAGCTTGCTCTGACCTTTCTGCAGGTTGCCGATGGCCTCATCGTAGTTCTCCAGCTCCAGGTGACACTGGCCCAAGAAAAAGTGGGCCTTCACTGACTGACTGTCCAGCTCCAGCGCATGCTTACAATCTGCCAGAGCCTTGTCATGCTGCTGCAGCTTCACATGGCAGAGAGCCCTGTTGGTGTAGTATACTGCCACTGATGGATTACGGTTCTGCGAGACAGGACACACCAGACAATAAACATGCACTGTAACAATAAAGCACTTTGCTATTATCTGTATTCACAATTGCATCCTGGGGAAACCTGGCATGAACATCACTAGATCTTGTTTCAGTAAGGCAGACATCACCCCAGCATTCATGTTACAAGGACTCACAATGGCTTTGCTGTAGCAGGTAGCAGCCTCCTGGTACTTGCGGCAGAGGAACAGCCGGTTCCCCTGCTCCTTCAGCTCCTGCGCGGTGGAACTCTTCTCCGGGCTGCCGGCCATCTTCTCCACCGGCTCCGCGGGGCCCGCCTCGCCCTGCTTCCCTATCCTGTTCCCCGTCTCGGCTGGCTAAATGACAGGTTTAAGAATGCCCTGTCCGTCCTGGATCGCACACACTAGATGGGAGACACAGCGCATGCAGAGATAAGTGGACATTCACGGCGTGCATTCAACTGCAATGCACCTGCAATGCGCGTCTTGGGCGAATTAGGTGCAGTGCTTGATGCCACCCAAAAGGCATTCGTTTAATTCGCTGACTGTGCACACAGCTGAAAAATACAGCGAGGTGGCTAGACTGCCGGCGAATTAACTATTCATATGACGGACATCAGCGGTGACTGGATGAGCAGCGGGGCTAGCTCACCGGCCATCAGACAACGTTATACACCCACCGTCCTCACCGTTAGTGTCGGGCTTGTTACTGTAATATTACACCGCAGGTATGAGATGATAGTAACGAACAAAACAACATTAAAACATGGCTATTTTTCGCATTGATATTCGAGATGCATCTGTTGCAGCAGCACGTACAGATACAGAGTGACAACGTCGCTAACTTTGGTCAGAAAACAGGAGATCGGTGCTATGCTAGCTGAGCTAAGCTAGCATGTTGTCGGTTTACGCCGGCCGGGCGGGTGGCTAGTAAGAGGACGAAGCCCCTCACTTGAGCTGTACCCACCAAATTACACATATAACAATATATTTTTTACTGTGTTATACCTACAGCTATTAGTGGCCAGAAAATAGGGCATTTATTATCATTTTCTCCAACCCCGCTGGGCAACCCCAGAGAGCAGAAATGAGCTAATGCTAGGTTAGCTTCTTTTCCACACAGCCCACTGCCGTCCGTTTCCATGTAAGTTCGGGTTTGTTATCAACACGCGGTCTCCAGCGCTTACCTTTTATTAGGACTCTTACATCAAGGTGAAGGTCGATTTATAAAATTTAATATCAAATCTTAATCGAATATTTTTTTCCCATCCGAGCTGTCATGACAGGTTGTTGTTATGCTGACGTCAAGCGCTTTTACGCGACATCGACGGAAGCCGAGAGGACGTCGTTTTCTCTCGCAGAGTTAATTAGACACTAAATTGCAAACGTCAATACCACGAGTGAACTTTATGTTCCCCGTGAAATATACATGAGGTGAACTAGACCAGAGGTGTTATTAGGAGCTTGACACATTGATTTCTTCTCAGCCCACCTCAGGAATTTACGTATATAATCATATGTGAAGCCTTAGAAGTACAAGTTGTCATACATTTGATTTAATAGTAACTTCAATCACTGATCCTTTTGATAGTCCAGGAGAAGGTGCAGGTGCTGGTGAGGAGAACGAGTTAATCAAAGCAAATCTGTGCTTCTGAAAAAAAAATACTGCAAAACCTGTTCAGTGATATAATTTATTAAACTACAATAAAACTATAAATCTGTTTTCATTGCTGGAGGTCATGTTTTATATATAGTTATGAGAAGCATCCATACACATACTGATACACTGATACATCTCTGTAATAAAACACTTGATATGAATATTTAGTAAACAGACCAGACTTTTATGAACAGTAAAATAATATCCCAAAGTTTTTGATCAGCTTTATCATATTACCTTTGTAAGCTCCAACACAAGATCAGACTGGCAGATGAATGGATTCAGGACCTTTTAAACATCAACAACTCAGTCCAAAGTAAAGAGTAAAATCAGTTAAAAACAAGCAAAACTTAGTTGACAAAATAAATTAAATGGTGAATCTTCATAGTCACATTCAGTTTGTCAGTGATCTTTACTGTCCTACTCTGTCTGACAGGAGCACAACACAAAGTAGTCCCCAGCAGATGGCGCTCTATAACAAAAGTTTGTCCATCCAGCCATCCATTATCTATACGCCATTTAATCCTCACTAGGGTCATGGGGGGCTGGAGTCTATCCCAGCTGACTTAGGGCGAAGGCAGGGGACACCCTGGACAGGTCACCAGTCTATCACAGGGCTACACTTAGAGACAGACAACCAAGCACACTCACATTCACACCTACGGACAATTTAGAATCACTGATTAACCTCAACATGTTTTTGGACTGTGGTAGGAAGCTGTAGAACCCGGAGAGAACCCATGCTGCATGGGGAGAACATGCAAACTCCACGCAGAAAGATCCCAGGTGTCCTCACCAGGATGACCTTCTTGCTGCGAGGCAACGGTGCTAACCACCGAGCCACCTTGCAGCCCTTACTAATGCAACTGTTCACTGACAAAAACAGCTTAGCAGATCAGATAGAGAAGTGGACCGACTGGACCTTTCAGAGGAATGCTGAAACTCTTTGACGCACAAGCAATGATAAGAACCTGAGTCATCAAACAAAACCATTAAAATTGGCAGTTGCATTAATGTATCCCACTTATGCTGCAATTGACAGCTGAGGATACCAAGAGAAGTAACTGCCAAAAATGTATAACCTTTATTGACTTGTGAACTCAAACAGAACGTCACAGTGTTGTGTTCTGTTGTAGGAGGCTTGCTTCGAAAGGCCAGAGGGAAATGCTGGTGCTCATAATCTTCATCTCATCAGAAATAAATCATCTGCTTCCTTGATTATTACTGAATTCCAAACTGTTTCTTCTAAACCCCTGTCTTTGGATGACTAAGGATCAACAGAATTAATCAATCTATCTTGTTCAGTTTCAGAATAAAAGGAGAAACACAAGAAAAGCAAAAGTTATTTTGCTGTGCTCATCATTATTGTTTTTTTTTAACTTTATGGAGCAGCAAACAGTCAAATAAGAGCTGACACTGGGTGAGAGGTTGGGTTCACCCTGGACGTGTCAGAAATCCATTACACTGTTTAAACAGTGACAGACAACCATTCATGCTCACATGTTTGACTAATTTAAAATCACTAATTAACCTACTGTGTGTGCTGCACAGGTAGTCCTGCAAACTCCATGAAGACCTCACCAGCAGGTGTAAACTCAGAAAGCTCTTGAATTTTATTGTGGATTTAAAAGAAATGTGAATAAAACGTCTATCAAAACAGATGTGCTCTGAAAATGAAATAAAAAGTGTAAAAAGTGTTTCCTTTGCTGTGACACATCCTCACATCATGACCACAGCTACACAGTAATCATGAAGTTACATTAAAAATGAACAAAACTGTGGTGCATGTTGTCACAGGCATGTTAGTACCATGAAAGGTGGACGTTGCAATTAGCGGCTAAACTCTGAAAAAGGACTCTTATATTGGCAACTGCTCATCCAAACAACTTCAGACTGAATACTGCACCTCCTCAGATCCCCAGTTATACACCTGCCAAGTTTAAAGTACACTGGATGAGCGGATGTTCAGATACGTGAAGACCAGACACACACACACACACACACACACACTATTTCCTTTTACTTAATATACCTCATAAAATATGCACTGTTTCATGCACTATCCATTAAATTAAACTACTTCTACTTCATCATCACAGTGCTCCATAAACTGTGATCTTTGGAGTGTGTAGTCCACAATGAGCTGTCACCTGGCTGTGCAGTCGTAGCTGCTGAAGTTTGTTTATACACCTAAGAGACACATAAGAGAGACATAAAACTGCACAAAGGATTGTGGGTCAGAAAGAACAGAAAAGCATGCTGGCTTGCATATCGCAAAATCAGACTGGATGTAGAGTTGAAACCAGAAGTGTACATACATTGTATAAAAAGACACAGAACCATTTTTTTTTTCTCAAAGTCTGAGATTAAATGTGACAAAAAATATTCTGTTTTAGGTCAGTTAGGATTACCAACATTATTTATATTTGCTAAATGCCAGAAAAATGAGAGAGAGAATTTTATATTACTTCCTTCAAAGTCAGAAGTTTACATACACTTCCTTAGTATTTGGTAGCGTTGCCTTTAAACTGTATGTCTTGGGTCAAATGTTTTGGGTTTCCTTCCACAAGCTTTTCACAATAGTTTGCTGGAGTTCTGGCCCGTTCCTCCAACAGAACTGGTGGAACTGAGTCAGGTTTGTTGGCTGCCTTGCTCGCACACAACTTTTCAGCTCTGAACACAAATTTTCTCCAGGATGGAGATCAGGGCTTTGTGATGGCCACTCCAGAACATTGAATTTGTTGTCCTTAAACCACTTTGTAACTAATGTGGCGGTATGTTTAGGGTCATTGTCCATCTGAAGACCCATTTGTGTCCATATTTAACTTCCTGACTGATGTCTTGAGATGTTACTTCAATATTTCCACATAATGTTCTTTCCTCATGATGCCATCTATTTTGTGAAGTGCACCAGTCCCTCCTGCAGCAGAACACGCCCACACCATGATGCTGCCACCCCCGTGCTTCACAGTTGGGATGATGTTCTCAGGCTTGCAAACTTCCCCCTTTTTCCTCCAAATGTAACGACAGTCATTATGGACAAACTTTTAAAACTTAGTTTCATCTCATCATGCACTCATACAGATAGAAATTCTTTCATTTGTATATATGAGAAGATATGAGAAGCCTTTACGTCTGTGAGGGAAAAAATGCAATGACAAAATGTCAGTTTGATCATTGAATCACATTTCTGATGTGCAGGCTCATTTATGCACCAATCAGTCTTTTCTTTTGGATCTTATTGTTATTTCAAGAGCAGATTTTTTTTTTTAAAGACAAGTAAAGATCAGTGCAGTGAGCGGGAAAAAAACAGCATCTTGGGATCTTAAATCAGGATGAGACTAAGACAAGAGGAAGGCTATTTCTCAGGAGCTGAAACTGAGACGTATGAGAAAACAGCCACAATCTCATATTGATGATAAACTAAGCTGAGTTATGTGCAGGAGAAATAAGCGGGACAAAAAAAAAGAGATCTTATTTTGGATTTTCTTTTCCTCTGGGGGGTCAGATTATGGTCAAGAATTCGGTATATTATGCTGGTGACATCCCACCCACAGAGAGAACTATTGCTGACCTTCATAGGCCTTTATAAGACGAACATTAAAGTTTAGCAGTGGAGGAATTAGCGCGGCTGTGATTGTGGACGGGGTCACTTTCATCCCGGCCCGTTGGGCCTCTGTGAAGGCTTCGCTGCGGAGATCAGTGTGTGAAGCTTAGGGCACATCCCCTGAGCAAACACACTGATAAATGTGTGAAGGGGGCCGTTGAGCCGCAGACCCACCAGCGCTGTGTGTCCCCAGCTGTGTTTACCTATCTCCACCAGTCTGGTCCCCTGATCCCCCAGAACACCCACCTACCCAACTAATCTGTAGGTCACAACAACACAAAAGTCTTCACTCACTGATTTAAATGGGGTGGACACAATATTAAAAAACAGCCCGACAGCTTACAAAATAACTATAGAGTTGTATAAGCTCCTCTCAGCAGGTTCAGCAAAGCGCATTCCTTCTGAGGATGTTTTGCACCGTTATAGAGAAATTGTCATGCAAAGACGAATTTAAGCTTTTATATATGTTTGTACTTAGGTTGTGACATTGCATACAATTATGATTTCATATTTTGAAAGCACATTATAATAAATAGAAACATCACATACGTTTACTGACTCATGTCCAGGATGCACTGGGAAAAAAATAAAAAAATAAAAAAAATTCTAACGGTTTTTACATATAATTTATGAAAAACAACAACAACAAAAAATTAGATGTTATTTTACAGATTTTCTCTGCTTTGTAACTTTACAATAACTTGTAAAGCCGAAGAAAAAAGTATTGATTTACAGGTTAACCATAAAAGAACAGTACATATTGTCCACATCAAAAACCTCCATCCATTATCTATACACCGCTTAATCCTCATCAAAAACCTGTATTTTAATAAACAATCATCTTTTACGACGTGTGAGTGTAAAATTACACATTTTTACTGTATTTAAATCAGCTAAAATTATTTTTTATTTTACAGATATTTGCTGGTATTGTCCTGCTGTTGTAATTTCCAAATGCTACAGTATTCTAGTTTTTTATTCTGTCACCCTTGCTGCCAGATTTTCTTCCTTTTCTTGATTTTTTGTTTTGTTTTG